TAGGGGTCAAAGTGTGCAAAAATGATCCAAAATGCACTTTTTAACCTGGATTCTTAAAAAAAAGTAAAAAACCTTAGAAAAAGCTTTCACTGCACACTTGTTCACTGCAGGAAAGCTTTTTCACTTTTTTTTTAAATCCAGGTTTGCACACTTTGATGAAATTTTCTTGGAATTTCCACAGTAAAAGTGAATGTGACTTGATTTGCACAATATGTAGAGGCATCACAGTGAACAAGTGTGCAGTGAAAGCTTTTTCTAAGGTTTTTTACTTTTTTTTAAAAATCCAGGTTAAAAAGTGCATTTTGGATCATTTTTGCACACTTTGACCCCTATTTTCTTGGAATTTCCACAGTAAAAGTGAATGTGACTTTGCACAATAATAGAGGGCATCACAGTGAACAAGTGTGCAGTGAAAGCTTTTTCTAAGTGCAGGTTAAAAAGTGCATTTTGGATCATTATTGCACACTTTGACCCCTATTTTCTAAGAATTTCCACAGTAAAAGTGAATGTGACTTTGCACAATAATAGAGGGCATCACAGTGAACAAGTGTGCGGTGAAAGCTTTTTCTAAGGTTTTTTACTTTTTTTTTAAATCCAGGTTAAAAAGTGCATTTTGGATCATTTTTGTACATTTTGACCCCTATTTTCTTGGAATTTCCACAGTAAAAGTGAATGTGACTTTGCACAATAGTAGAGGGCATCACAGTGAACAAGTGTGAAGTGAAAGCTTTTTCTAAGGTTTTTTACTTTTTTTTATAATCCAGGTTAAAAAGTGCATTTTGGATCATTATTGCACACTTTGACCCCTATTTTCTAGGAATTTCCACAGTAAAAGTGAATGTGACTTTGCACAATAATAGAGGGCATCACAGTGAACAAGTGTGCGGTGAAAGCTTTTTCTAAGGTTTTTTACTTTTTTTTTAAATCCAGGTTAAAAAGTGCATTTTGGATCATTTTTGCACACTTTGACCCCTATTTTCTTGGAATTTCCACAGTAAAAGTGAATGTGACTTTGCACAATAGTAGAGGGCATCACAGTGAACAAGTGTGCGGTGAAAGCTTTTTCTAAGGTTTTTTACTTTTTTTTTAAATCCAGGTTAAAAAGTGCATTTTGGATCATTTTTGCACACTTTGACCCCTATTTTCTTGGAATTTCCACAGTAAAAGTGAATGTGACTTTGCACAATAGTAGAGGGCATCACAGTGAACAAGTGTGCAGTGAAAGCTTTTTCTAAGGTTTTTTACTTTTTTTTTAAATCCAGGTTAAAAAGTGCATTTTGGATCATTATTGCACACTTTGACCCCTATTTTCTTGGAATTTCCACAGTAAAAGTGAATGTGACTTTGCACAATAATAGAGGGCATCACAGTGAACAAGTGTGCGGTGAAAGCTTTTTCTAAGGTTTTTTACTTTTTTTTTAAATCCAGGTTAAAAAGTGCATTTTGGATCATTTTTGCACACTTTGACCCCTATTTTCTTGGAATTTCCACAGTAAAAGTGAATGTGACTTTGCACAATAGTAGAGGGCATCACAGTGAACAAGTGTGTGCAGTGAAAGCTTTTTCTAAGGTTTTTTACTTTTTTTAAAATCCAGGTTAAAAAGTGCATTTTGGATCATTTTTGCACACTTTGACCCCTATTTTCTTGGAATTTCCACAGTAAAAGTGAATGTGACTTTGCACAATAAGTAGAGGGCATCACAGTGAACAAGTGTGCAGTGAAAGCTTTTTCTAAGGTTTTTTACTTTTTTTTAAAATCCAGGTTAAAAAGTGCATTTTGGATCATTATTGCACACTTTGACCCCTATTTTCTTGGAATTTCCACAGTAAAAGTGAATGTTACTTTGCACAATAATAGAGGGCATCACAGTGAACAAGTGTGCGGTGAAAGCTTTTTCTAAGGTTTTTTACTTTTTTTAAGAATCCAGGTTAAAAAGTGCATTTTGGATCATTATTGCACACTTTGATCCCCATTTTCTTGGAATTTCTACAGTAAAAGTGAATGTGACTTTGCACAATAGTAGAGGGCATCACAGTGAACAAGTGTGCAGTGAAAGCTTTTTCTAAGGTTTTTTACTTTTTTTTAAAATCCAGGTTAAAAAGTGCATTTTGGATCATTATTGCACACTTTGACCCCTATTTTCTTGGAATTTCCACAGTAAAAGTGAATGTGACTTTGCACAATAAAAGAGGGCATCACAGTGAACAAGTGTGCAGTGAAAGCTTTTTCTAAGGTTTTTTACTTTTTTTAAAAATCCAGGTTAAAAAGTGCATTTTGGATCATTTTTGCACACTTTGACCCCTATTTTCTTGGAATTTCCACAGTAAAAGTGAATGTGACTTTGCACAATAATAGAGGGCATCACAGTGAACAAGTGTGCAGTGAAAGCTTTTTCTAAGGTTTTTTACTTTTTTTAAGAATCCAGGTTAAAAAGTGCATTTTGGATAATTTTTGCACACTTTGACCCCTATTTTCTTGGAATTTCTACAGTAAAAGTGAATGTGACTTTGCACAATAATAGAGGGCATCACAGTGAACAAGTGTGCAGTGAAAGCTTTTTCTAAGGTGTTTTACTTTTTTTAAGAATCCAGGTTAAAAAGTGCATTTTGGATCATTATTGCACACTTTGACCCCCATTTTCTTGGAATTTCTACAGTAAAAGTGAATTTGACTTTGCACAATAATAGAGGGCATCACAGTGAACAAGTGTGCAGTGAAAGCTTTTTCTAAGGTTTTTTACTTTTTTTAAGAATCCAGGTTAAAAAGTGCATTTTGGATCATTTTTGCACACTTTGACCCCCATTTTCTTGGAATTTCTACAGTAAAAGTGAATGTGACTTTGCACAATAATAGAGGGCATCACAGTGAACAAGTGTGCAGTGAAAGCTTTTTCTAAGGTTTTTTATTTTAAAAAAATATAAACGTTAAAAAATGCATTGTGGCGGCTGATCCCCGCGGCTTCTCTTTTCTGTGTTACCGTAAGTAACAGCATAAAGCGGCAACCCGCTAGAAATGTGCGGGCCTCTTTACTGTTGACTCCGAAAAGCCGGAACTCTTTACCGCGGTCACCTCTAAGAGGTAGTGACCTGTATTGGTCTTCCAACAGTCTTGAAGGAGTTCCCAGAGACGCTTAGCACCTGTTTGCCCTTTTGCCTTCACTCTGTGGTCCAGCTCACCCCAAAACCATCTGGATTGGGTTCAGGTCCGGTGACTGTGGAGGCCAGGTCATCTGGCCTAGCACCCACCACTCTCCTTATTGGTCAAATAGCCTGGGTGTGAATCTACAGTCAATAGTCATGAAAAGAAAGGACACTTATTGAATGAGAAAGTGTGTGCAAACTTTTGATCTGTACTGTAAATGTGAATAATATACTTTGTAAATGCAAAATAATGTAATGCACATGAGGGAAAAGAAAAACAACGAAAGCTTGAAACTAAAACAGACTATAGAAGGCTACAACACCTCAACACAAATATATGATTCTCATGGATCATATGAAACACCATCAAAGACAAACTTAGCATTCTCGGATAGATTCAAGTTAAATATAGCACAATATTTCTGTGTATGAACCTGAAGCCTGTGACATCCATATGGTGCTGCAGCTGTTCCAATTACTCATTGACCTTTGCAGAGATTATTGTATCCCTCTTATAAACGCCAATAACAATCTAACCCAAAAATGTCAGCAGGAAGATAAGGAACTAGGACCATAATAGATCCATGACTAGGACTGTTGACAATTATTTGAAGTTAATAAATCTCTCACCTCTGCTTATGAGCTTTGGGTAATGATCGAAAGGACGAGATCGCGGGTACAAGGGGTCTATATGAACTTCCCCTGCAGAGTGGCTGAGAGCTCCTATAGAGATAGAGTGAGAAGGTTAGGGTTAGGGCTCTACCCCGAGGGTAGAGCCGCTGCTTCTCCACGTCCAGAGGAGACAGTTAAAGTGGCCTGGGCATCTGGTTGGGATGCCTCCTGGACGCCTCTCTGGGGAGGTGTTCTGGGCCTGTCCCACCAGAAGGAGACCAGGGGAAGACCCAAGACACAGAGGGACTGTGTGTCTGTGCCATCTAGTGTTGAGATCATATATTGCAGTCCTTTGGTACTACAGTAGCTTGGAAGGTTAATATGTTGTCTTTGACAGTGGACCCCAAATTCCTTGACAGTGACCATGGAAATACTCCTTTAGTTTGATAAATGACCAGATCTCTCCATAGGTCTTTGTAACTTGACATTGTAGCGCTAAAATGTAAACAAACAGAGGCTCTAATGTTTTACAAACACGGTGTGAAGAGAAGATACGTAGGAAAGGGACGTCTGTGGGAGCTTAAACCCACAGAGTTCAGAGAAATCAGAACATTGCCTTGGACATGGGCATACACAGCAGCAGAACTAAAGAGCTAAAAACTCAGATTATTATTAGCGTTAGTCACGGCGCCCCATCCACATCACGATAAGAAAACAGAACATTCAAACTCACGCTGGTGATCAAGTATTTTGGCGATTGTTTTGTGGGGATTCTGTGTGTTTTGCATATTTGACCCTTGTCCTGAATAAGTTTAGTTGAAACTTGTGACATAGTAGTTGGACTCTGCTCGGAGCGGGTCAGAACATCTGGAGGCCTGTGGTTCAGATTCTGTCTCGTTCTCATTACTGTCAGTGTGAAGAAAGTAATGCATTGTATACCCCACATGCTCTGCAATCAGTGATCTAAAAAAAAAAGTAAAAAGTTGTTCATATTTGGCAAAATGTATCCTAATTTGAGCACATTTTGACTTAAAATAAGATTTGCCTATGAGACAAGCAAAATGACCTTGTTTTAAAAAGATACAAGAAATGTTCCCCTTGAAATAAGAAAAAAATGCAACAGTTCTTGTACTCAGATTAAGATTTTTTTTAAAACACCTGATTCAAGCAATTATTACCTCATATTTTATCATGTTTTGTAGTATAACAATAAAAAGTCCTGTACAAGAGCGTTCAGTAAATGATGGATGGTGTGTTGTGTTTGGTTCCAGGAGCAGGTGACGCTCCGTAACCTTTGGGAGATGAGGTTCCAGGTGATAGTGTCGTACGAACACTCCACGTGGAGCTCTCACTCTGAGCTGTGGCCTCACGTCCCGTACTGGTGGGCCAACAAGTGCAGACCCGAGTCTCTCATCCAGGTGTTCGACCATAAGAAACTGCAGGGGAGACCAGGTACTGCTGCTGCTAATGGTGCTACTGCTGCTGATCCTGCTGCTAATGGTGCTGCTGCTGCTCTATATATAAACTCCCGTAATATAAATAGCCAATATTCGTTTGACCTCCCACTCCTGCATTCTAACATTCCCTATGATTCCAGAAGGATTCTTTGTGACGGGCATCAATCTAACTGAGGACCTGAAGTACATCTGCACTCACCCGACCGAGACGCTGAAGGACCTGGTGATGTCCACGTACCCGGAGCTGCTGGCCTGGGTCCGGGAGCAGACGCCAGGGGCCAAAGCCGAGGCCCTCAACATCATTGCGGGGGACTTCATCACCGAGTGCCACTTTGTACCCAGCGTGGTCAGACTGAACGAGAAGCTTCTCAAGTGGCCCTACTGACTCACTCTAGAGTCACCTGAAAACAAAACAACGTTAGCATGACAAACACATACGCTTGATGCAAAGACTCAATATTATACTTGAATTAAAATGGCTACTTTCAAAGGGTTCTCCACCAAGAACTAAAACACATTTGACCAATCTCACAGTCACATGGCAGCTATCAAGGGTCCCCTTTTTGCATTTCCCTTCTCAGTTCTCTCCAGCAGCAATGAAAAGAAATACTAAACCTGAGCCTAAACCTAAAGGTCCCATATTTCACTCTTCTTCATCATTGACAATCCATCCTCAGCATGTGTGTGATAATAATTTGGGTGATACACAATACAACACTCAATACTAAAAATATGGCTATTTCTGGATCTGTGCTGCTTTCCCTGTGAATAGAAAGTCCACCTGCATTCGCCTCATTCCTTATCTTTGGGGCAATTAGTATCATCATATATTTACATCAAAAACACATTTGTTCTCACCAAACCTTGTTTCATTAGTTATTTCAAGGCAATGTAAAAAATGTACTTAATATGCAGAATATAAAAAGGATATATTCTTTGTACATTTCTTACCAAAAGTAAAACACAAAACCATCTTTATCTCCTCACTTCCCCGCGCGTACATTTGGACATGCACAGTAGCCGAGAACAAACATAAACAACAATGGCGGCAAGTACATTAATGCTTCGAGTTTTCTACTCCTTTGTTCGTCCAAAACGAAACCACGCAAAGCTGTAATTTTAGTTTCCATTTTTTCTCCGTTTTTTTCTGTCCATTTTCTACCCTTTAATCCATTTCTGGGTCAGGGGGGTGGCAGTCAGAGATGCCACCCAAGTCTCATAGCACCAGCCCCTCACTGACCCTCTGCAGGTGGTGAGTCCACAGGAGGTGCACAGTGTCTAAACGGTCTTTGTCGCTGACAATAGCAGTAAACAGTAGAGCTTTATGTGGTAGAGGCGGGACCATGCACTGGTTCTCCAGCTCGTGCCGCGTCATCAATGTGAACCCAGGCGTTTTTGCTGCCTCTGGAGAATGGAGAAAGATCGCTCTCTAACTAAAGCTTGAGGGAATCAATGAAGAAACTAGTCTGGGCGAATAGCACTATAATGATGTTTAAAGTAGAGTCGAAAATGCAATATGGGACCTTTAATAATTTAAAGGTAAAAGTACAATTTGACTGTCTTAAAACATGACTTGCCAATGGAACATGGCAAGTCATGGTCAAGATCATTTTGAAGCTGCTGTTGCAATTGCTGGAGCAGGTGCGTAGGTGAGGGGGAGAGAGTCCTGGTGCACATGAATACAAATAATGGTTCCAGCACAGTGCTGTCCTTGTAAAGTTTCAGGCAATTTTCTGAAGAGCCACCTGCAGCTCTTTGGCTGCTATTATGTGCCATCAGCCACTCCAACCCCAAGGTCTACTCCATACTTGAACATTTTGTATTCCCAGCGTTTACCATCCAAGCTCTAACCAGCTTTGGATCAGTTAGACTAAGTATGAAATGATGATTAAATACACGTGATGTAAAAGGGTAAAAGGGAACCATATCTTTAGCCTGGCTGGAGATTGGTCCAATTGTGTTTGTGTTTTTGGAGTGAGGGGGTGGATGAAAGACATTAACAGAAAAAAAGTTTCCTAAAAATGCACTTCCTTTAGTCGAGAAATTGTACTTCTATAGGCTACAAAGATGTGGCTAACACTTGCACTTATTTACATTTCAATATTTAATTTTTACCATCTTTGGCCTGAGTGTGACCGGGTCTCAAACGCAATAATACGCTTTAATCATTTCCCTAACTATGAATGTGATTATTTTCAAGCACATTGATGTCATAGAAAAAGCACAGGAATGTTCCGTGCTTCTGAACAGGAGGAAATGTAAATGGACAGAGAGAAATGTATTGGGACTTTTGTACTCGAGTATTCATAATGTGTCATAATCATATTGGCAGTGGAAACAAAGCAGTTGTGTTAATAGTTGTTAATAGACTTAAATCTCCAGAGCAAACCATCATAAAGGCAATGCAATTTTATTTGTATAGCACAGTTCATACACAAGTGCTTAAAGGTCTGATATTTCACTGTTCTTCATGTTTTACAGTAGTACACCATACACCTGTCAAAACTCAAAACAAATTATTGACATTTCTTGCATAGAGGGGATGTCACATGTATTGAAATGAGTGGATCTGTGCTCCTTCGCCTGTGAGCTACATAATATCTTATGTAGCTATCTTATGAGGCTAGATATTTGCCGTATTGCTTTGGCCAAATAGTGTCGCCATATATTTACACCATAGACTATAAATATTAACGGACGACGTAGTGACGCCTATTTCCCCCAGTTGAAACTTATGTGGGATCAACATGGACCTTTTGCAAATGGCCGTGAGCAGCCCCTCCTGCAGGAAAATTGTTTAAAAACTTTTGCGTATGCGTTAGCTGCATGAGTCTGAAAAAACGCGTTCATTCAAAAGTCTACAGTGGATAAACTAGGCTGATCCAAAACAAAATACTCTCTTCAGCATTGACACCATCTGGAACCTATAGCGTTGAGCCAAGAGCCGACTTTTGGACCAGGCTGTAAAGTTGTGTTTGAGAGGAAAAAAGGGGCCATAAGAATTTATTGGATAATTCTGTTTCCTGTACGCCACCACCAGCAAGGAGCCAGATTGCAACCAGGTCTGCGCCCCCACTTATTTACACCCAAAAATTGAAGTTGACCTTATGTTAACACCCTTAGATAGCGACAGGAGCAAAAACAACAGAGCGCGATGTGAAACAGACGGTGGTAATACATCCATGACTGTGGCACACGCAGGACTCGAGATGCTGATCCAGGCACTTTCGTGGGTGTGTCTGTTCACCACCTCCTGTCGGCGGACTTCTCCAGCTCAATGCCAGGTCATCAAATTGAACTAAAGCTTTAGGGCATCAAATAAACAGAAAATTCCAAATACTTAATATGAGACCTTTAAAAAAGCAAGAAAAGTAAACAAGGCATTAAAAATCATAAATAATCACAGTATGTACATTATGTGTACATAACATATTTTAGTGAGAATGAGGCACTCATTCAAAATGCTTCCATTATATTGACTGCAACTCATGCAACTCAGGTCTGTGACAGGTCTAGATATGAAGTGAACCAGGGATCAGTTGTTTGGTGCTTTCACATCTCCACAAATGAATCATATTTTTTTAATTTTTAGTTTAAGTCACCTGGACTCAGTTCTACCACACCCTAATTTTCTTAGAAACCGATGTTATATCTCATTATACAATGCTTTTTTCACTCCGGAGTTCCCTAAATCCACACTAATGGCTATTAACAAAATATATTATTATTTGAGTACATACTTCAAGTCTCTCTGTCCATCTCTGTCCTGAAAAGAAAACTTTTGAAAGCAGTGGAACTTGAGGCTGAATGCATGGAACAGTGTGTGTGCATGAGTCTGCCTTACTGATGGTGACCTCTGTCTGTGGAGACGGCTACAACGCATCGTGAGGATGTTGAATGTTCTTCACAGAGAGAGAGAATGATGTAAATGTAAATGATGCAAAAGACAATTACACACACTTCTCTGCATATCACATTCATTCACTTCAATGTATTGGTGTATCGCCCTAAATCACAGCAGTTGTCGTCTCAGAGGACTTTACAAAGTTGTGGGTTCAACAACAACAGATCAGAGAATCAAACGGGTCAAAAACATGGAATGCAACAATAACACACTCACAGGAGCCATTAGTCCATAGGGAGTGGATGACCAATGGGCATATACTGTCCTGGATCATCGCTACTGTCCTTAGACCCTCCTGCATTGGAAAGGATCAACTCAAAAACAGTGGAAAAAAAGTATGAAACCTCGGGGAGTCCCACATTGAGAGAGGTATCCGCTCCCTGAGGCTGTAGAGCCAGGACTGAGGCTGTAGATCCAGGACTCAGTGGTTTGAATGTGGAGCAGGGTGCATGTATTACAGCAATATGAATGTTTTATCAGCTTTGCTTTTACATTTAAGACGGTTTCTACTTCACTGACTGTAAATGACTCATGTGAATAAAAGAGCATTGTCCTTGTTCATTCAGTTTATCTAATGTGCTTATCAATAATTGAATCAAGACCCACTTTAAATTCATTGAGCAATAAGAGACACTCCCACAGATGCTGCTGAAGTCTACTGCAACTTATTAAGTAAGTAAGTAAAGTTTATTTCTTTAGCGCATTTCACAGACCAGGAAATGTTGCGGTTTTTAAATGTCTAACCAAAGTAGAAAAACAAACTGAAATTGAGCTCAATGAGCGACAGATACATTTACTAGAAGACATTACTCCATGAGACAGCAAACTATCTACACTACATTTTTAGAACTTAAGATTTTAGGCATCTGCATCGTCAAGCTTCAGGCCCAGATTGAAAATTGAGAATACATATCTCATACATCATACATATCATACATCTCATGCATCATACATCACATCCTAAAAACGTGCCTGGTTTGGTTGAAAAATTATTTATTTTTTCTCAGGTTTTAAAGGCACACCGTGTAACTCTTGGCCACTAGGGGCGCTAGACCTGCAACTTTCACGTTTAGCGCCCCTAGTGGCCACAAGCAACTCAGCACTGTCGCAAAAGTCAACAAACAGTCAGCCGGTGTCTTTTGAGTGTGTATTCAGACAGCATGCACTGGTGTGTGTGTTCAAACTGTAGAGACATGCCTACAGATATTGAGAGACTCTGCTGTGGTCAGCCTCCAGACCGCTGCATTAGTAATCTACCACACATGGACTTCTATATCCTGGATGAGGGAGTTCTGCGTCTAGCTCGTGCTGCGTGGAATGACATCTTTGCAGTCGATGACATCCAGGAACCAGGTGAAGAGCAGCGCTCATACAGACATGCAGCTTACAGCACGATCCCTTTCGCGTTTCCTCTTTTTAGCCTCCTCCGAAGGTTTAAAATTTTTCCTTGCCTCAGCCATGACCAGGAGTCGAGCAGGTGAAAAATGAGTAGCAAAAGCCTTAGCTCCATGAGTATATCAGCGCCTGTAGCCGTAAAGCAAGTCTTTCTTCCAAGTCACGTGACCTGGTGGCAGACGGTCCGTCTGCTCGAAACTTACATGGGCGGTATTTCAAGAGGGCAGCCCCGCTCGGAGCATTGCAAGTGTCAAGCGCTGTATATTGGCCCAAGTATTCATATAAAATAACTCATATGTGTCAACTCTTTAGGTCACAAAGTCCGCGGTGTGCCTTTAAGGCTCAACACGCTTCCAGTCTTAAAATGTAGAATTATTTTTTCCTCTACTGCATGTCAAAATCTAAGTTCTAATAAATAGCTTTGGCTATGAGCACCATGATGAATGCCTCAGACTACTGTATGACAGATATCTGAAAATGGGCCTTCGTTTATTGTTTGAAGGCCGCGTTTTGCCCCCGGGCCGTGATTCGGACATCTACGGTTTATAAACACATTTTATTGAAAGCGTCCTTCGAGCCTCCAAAACACACAATATTAATCATCGTGTATGAATTTAATTGTTATTACTCAAACAAGAATTAATTTGTAATAATATTTCAATAACACTTATTTTTGATGATATGTTTCGATTTTTGCACGTTTACTTCCTACTTTGGCTTAAACCCCGCCCCTTTTCGATGACGCGTCGTTTGTTTATAAATTGCCTTATTTTTCCGCTCGGCTGCAGAGAAGAGGAGGCTGATAAAAATATCGTTTCTTTTCGCGGACATATCATTATTTTTTACACAAAACCTGACTCAGAACCTGCTCAACATCCAGGTCTACGTGAGGCTTTCGTTTCGCATTTGTTCACACGTGTGTTGGAAATGTGTGTAATAGACAGTTGTGTTTAGACTGTAGAAAGATTGAGAAGGAATACAGTCCATGCGTAGAACAGGGAATAGAATGGACTGTGAAAACTGGATGTCCGCTTTACCAGAGGAGCTATGGGACGTCCCGCTCACCGAACTGGCCATACCTGGTAAAGTATACATCTAATACCTTAAATATATATATCTGTAAATGAGATTTCACATTATACAGATTTTACATTGTGAGATAAAATGATCCACTTGTGTTTTCTTTCTACATAGCATATGGCGTACTACCATTTAATAACAATATGTAGTAATCATGCCCAATTCACAAGCATCTGTTCTCAATTCAACTCAATATAATTTTCTATTTGTGAAGCACATTTAAAAACAGTCTGGGCTTACCAAAGTGCTTTGTAGACAAGGGAATAGCAGCTACAATAAAAACACATACAAATACATTAATATCTATTTATATATATAAATGAAAACGAAAACTTGTCTGGTGTTCAAAAGGCAAAGAGAAAAGTTGCGTCTTAAACTAGGATTTAAAGTACTGGAGCGATTGTGCACTGTGTAAAGTAAAGAGTACAGAGTTCCTCATTTTTTATATCAGCAGTTCAGTATCAGCAAAATTGTGGAATCACCAACAACAGATCAGAGAATCAAAACGCTTGTTAACAGGAAATGCAAAAACAGGAGCCATTTTTCTATAGGGAAAAAAAATACTCTTTATTTTTTTTACTGCACATTTCTGAACACAGGCATAATTCAATACACTTTGAAGAGAATGATTATGTATTGATAATAAAAGCTTGAGTTTTTTGTATTTATTCTATTATTGATGTGCCACTGCTCAAAATATGTTGGGAACCATTCGCTGACTATTCAACTAAACTACAAAAGATTGGCAGTTTTGTAATAAGCTAGCTATTACCAAATGGTGATGGTGCTGCTGACAGATATTAAAAGCTGGGAATCATGAATTATTATAATAGCAGCATTAGTATCTGTGCTTAATGTACATACACTATTTTGAATGTGTTGATTCTGGCTGATGGCACAGATTTTCGACCTCACTTATGTCAGTCTTCCCCAAGGCATCTGCGACTCCAGTACCACCACTATGACGGAATAATGCAATGTAACCAAATAATATATAAATATAATAAAAAGTATTGTAATGAACCTCATATTAATATTATTATTGTTATTATTGAAGCTTAATTAAGAAAGCTGCTATGGCTCATTTGTGTGTGTTTGTTTGTGTGTTTAGTTGTAGAGTGGATGCTTAGTGCCCTGTTACTAACATGCTGTTATCTAACTCAGTGATTTATGCTATTCGGCTAATTCCAGCACGTTCATGTTATTTTCCGGCACATTAGGCTTGTTCTCACTTATTTCCCACTGTTTTTTTCTGAGTGGGTCGCTCTGATGCAGGAGGGTCCAAAGACAGAGATGATCCAGGACATTTAAGGCCGTTTATTAACATTTCTGGACAGTCGTCGTCCCGCTCCCTATGGACCAATGTCTCCTACGTGTTTGTTATTAGTGCATTTCTTGTGTTTGAACAGTTTGATTCTTTGATTTGCTGTTTGTGAATCGACTACGTTATAAAGTCCTCCGAGATGACTGCTGTTGTGATTTAGGGCAATACACAAATACATTGAATTGAAATGAACTGTGGACTCATGTTTTTTGACCCGTGTCGAAAGGGCATGATAAGATTGGGGTGTTGTATGGACTCTTTTCGGCTTTTGACAGAATTATGTTGAAATACATTGGTCAAAGCAAACTTCTGACTTTCAAAATCCGTCTTCTAAAGTTGTAGCGCATCCAGGGCCAGAGGGAATCACAATTTAACAGATTATTGTGATTCAATCTGAAGAGACTCGACGGACACAGAAAATGCATTAGATGAGTTTATTGCAAGGTGTGACATTGCTTGTGTGACACTTAGTACTACCAGTCAGTAATCTTTATTTAAATCAGTGCCTTTCACAGAGAGAGACCAGAGGGAGACCAGAGGGAGACTAGAAAGATACCACTGAGAGACCAGGGAGAGACCAGTGACAGATCAGAGAGAGACCAGTGATAGACCAAAGAGAAACCAGAGAGAGACCAGACAAAGACCAGAGAGAGACCACTGAAAGAGAGACCAATAAGAGCACTGAGACAGACCAGAGAGAGACCAGAGACAGACCAGAAAGAGACCAGAGACAGACCAGAAAGAGATCAGTGGAAGACCAGCGACAGAGAGAACAGAAAAAGACCAGCAGGAGGAGGCGGGGAGGTGGTGGTTGCAAGAGCTCGAAGAAGCGCTAGTTGGAAAATTTGGCTTTTAAACTGCCGGCTTGATTATATAAAGACATTTTTATAAATTACTTTCAATGTCCCGGGTCATCACTATCCTTAGACCCTCTTGCTTCGGCAAGGAACCACCCAAAACCCAGTGGAGCGAGAGTGACCATAGGCACTGTTCGAACTATAGTAAGTTTGTTATCACTATTAGCATTATTCCTGATGACTGTCTCTGAATGCCTCTCAGGAAGCCACGACGCCATGAGCTACTGCCTGGACGTCAGCTCTCCTCTGGTCCGCTCCGAGTCCGACTGCTTCCGGATCCTGGACACTTTCTGCTGCTGCGTTACTCGACATGTCATCTTCAAATGGGCCACGACTCAGGTATGTGCAGCGGCGAAACAAGCGAGTATTTCAGGTTACGAGAGTTTGCTCAGCTAAACAGAACTTTTTTTTTATCCTGGTTTTGAACATTGTCAGAGAACTTCCTGTTACACAAAGCAGTGAAACAGGTTTTTCCACAGTTTTCCAACTCTTTGTTTAACTTTCAGCTTTGTTTCTTTTTTGGACAAACAGGCCGGATTACCATGAATTCCCATGGCAAAAGGTGTTTTTGTATCTTGTACAGACCTTTCTTTCTTGCTTGAGTCCAGTGTTTTGTCCCTGTTTAAAAGCCACAGTGAACAGAAAGTTTGAGATACTAGGGCTGTCAACAACTGAGAATTATTTTAGTAGTTAAATACTACAAAAACTTGGTAAATTACATAAAGGGCTCATAGATCGAAAGCTAGAGTAGGACTCAGACAAAGTTGTTCGTCACATAACTAATAATCATCTATAATTTATATCATTCATAAATACTTTACAGAGTTGTACATTTAAATCTGGTTTGGGTCTGGCACCAACTAAATACCCCCCACCCCCTCTGGCATCTCTCTGGTCTCTCTTTGGTCTTTCTCTGGTCTCTCTCTGGTCTCTCTCTCTCTCTCTACTCTCACTCTGGTCTCTCTCTCTCTGTGTCTCTCTCTGGTCTCTCACTCTCTCTCTGGTTTCTCTCTTTCTCAACCTCTCTCTGGTCTCTCTCTCTGGTCTCTTTGGTCTCTCTCTTGTCTGTCTCTCTCTCTGCTCTCTCTCTGGTCTAGCTCTTTCTTTGTGTCTCTCTCTGGTCTCTCTCTTTCTCTGGTCTATCGCTCTCTTTCTCTGGGCTCTATGTTTCTCAACCTCTCTCTCTGGTCTTTCTCTGGTCTCGACCTCTCTCTCTTGTCGCTCTCTCTACTCTCACTCTGGTCTCTCTCTCTCTGGCCTTTCTCTTTCTCTGTGTCTCTCTCTGGTTTCTCTCTTTCTCAACCTCTCTCTGGTCTCTCTCTCTGGTCTCTTTGGTCTCTCTCTTTGTCTGGTCTCTCTCTGGTGTCTCTCTCTGTTCTCTCTCTGGTCTCTTTCCGGGTTTGTCTGACTGTGCATCTCTGTGGGTCTCTATCAGGACAAAAGCATTGAGGACCAGCTCTCTCTGGGCGTGCGGTACTTTGACCTGAGAATCGCACACAAACAAAACGACTCCAGCCCAGACCTGTATTTCACCCACATCCTCTACACCCACCTCACCGTCCTGGTGAGTAGATCAACCATTATCTGTCAAAAACCATCAATAAAACTGTCGATAATCAATCTTTATCTCAAACAGGAAACTCTGGTATCAGTCGCTGGTTGGCTCAAGTCTCACCCAAAAGAAGTGGTCATTCTGGAGTGTAGCCATTTCGAAGGAGTCAGCGAGAGTCTGCACGAAGCTTTCATTTTCTCCATAAAAAAGATATTTGAATCCAAGCTCTGCCCAAAAAAGGTCATTTAGAAATAACAGTTTTTTGTATCTTTATCAAGTTTCTTTTTCCCATGTGTATATCAGGAATCCAACATTTCTTTGGGGTGCCTCTGGTCTCTCTCTGGTCTCTCTCTGGTCTCTCTCTGGTCTCTCTCTGGTCTCTCTCTGATCTATCTCTGAGCTCTCTGGTCTCTCTCTGGTCTCTCTCTGGTCTCTCTCTGGTCTCTCTCTGGTCTCTCTCTGGTCTCTCTCTGATCTATCTCTGAGCTCTCTGGTCTCTCTCTGGTCTCTCTCTGGTCTCTCTCTGGTCTCTCCCTGATCTATCTCTGAGCTCTCTGGTCTCTCTCTAGCCTCTCTCCCTGGTTTTTCTCTGGTCTTTCTCTCTTCTCTCTCTCTCTGCATGGTCTCTCTCTTCTCTCTCTCCGGTCACTCTCTCTCTATACTCTGCCCAAAAAAGATATTTGTAATACATTTTTTTGGATTTTGATGAACTCTTTTGCTCAATATGTGTCCATTAGGAATCCAACATTTCTCTGAGGTCCCTCTGGGCGTCTGGATACCAGGTCATTCTCTCGTACGAAGACCAAACCGCCGCCCGCCACGCAGAGCTGTGGCCTGGGACCCCGTACTGGTGGGCCAATCAGAAGACAGCAGCCGGAGTCATCAGCTACTTAGACTGGAAGAAAGATCTGGGGCGTCCAGGTATCACCACTTATTCACGATTCATCTCCGGTCTCTCTGGTCTTTCTCTCTGAATCTCTCTCTGGTCCCTCTTTCGTCTCTCACTGGTCTCCCTCTCTGGTCTATTTCTCGTTTCTCTCACAAGTCTCTCTCTCTTGTCGCTCTTCTTGGTCTTTCTCTGGTCTCTCTCTCTGAATCAGAATCATTTTTATTTGCCACGTAAGTAACAGGAAGTCACAGACTTGGAAATTGCTTTGGCTCGGTGCATCAGTCAGAAAAGAGAGGTAAAGAATAGAGTAAGGCATAATAAAAATCAGCATACACTTCTAAGGAATAAAATGTAGAATAGAATTATTACAATTACTATGTACAATATGCAAGTGCACATGGTGCGCACAATATGTAGTAGGCAGTGCAATAATGTGACAAGCAGTAAAGTGACGTTATGCATTAAAGTGATTTTATAAGGGGCAGTGAGGGGACTTCTAAAGGGCGGGGGACAGGTTCTGAAGTGTCCAAGAGTCCAACAGCAGAGGGGAAGAAACTGTTCTTATGGTGGAAAGTTTTGGTCCTGATGGACGTGTCTCTCTCTTTCATCTGCACCACATTAGCTTAATCCTTGTTTTGCTCTCTCCTCTTCTCACAGAAAGCTTCTTTGTCTCTGGCCTGAACCTCACAGCAGATAAGTTCTACATTGCGTCTCACATGAAGGAGTCACTGCGCAGTCTGACCATGAAGAACTGGGAGAGTCTGCGCTCCTGGGTGGAGGAGCAGGTGCCAGGGTCTCAGCACCAGAGTCTCAACATCATCGCCGGAGACTTTGTGGGTCCCCTCCCCCTCTGTCCGCTGGTCATTCAGCTCAACCAGAAGCTTCTGCGGAGAACCAGCAACAACGGCGTTCCATAGTCTTCAGAGGGACTTTGTGGAATATAAGAAGGTTTTATACTGTGAATATCTCTGGGTTTGTCTCTTGTTGCGTCCTCTCTGTTTGATTCATTCTCCAGTTTTCATTTTTATATGTTACATTGTAATGACTGTTTTTAGTCATTGAAGTTTTAAGGTTTTAAAGGTTTTTTGAATCGAGCCTGAAGAAGCACATTGGACCAAAACTATATATTTTATTTTTTTGGTCATTTGAACAGGGTTAGGGTTAGTAATCAACATTACTGTAAATGTGCCAGTATTAGCTCTCTCCCCAACTGCAGACCCTCGAAAAGATGTAAAAAACCAGCAAAGAACACTCCAAACATTATGTATTATTATTTTAAAATGCTTTTAAATTCGACCCCTTACTACACACTACTGACACATGTATATTTAATTTAATAAAGGTAAATTTTTATTAAGAAATTGTAAAAAAAAATCTTGACAAAAATACATGCATTTTTAAATATAAAAATATATATTCCTGAAAAAAATCTAACATTAAAATACATTTAGTTGAGAGTTGGTCTTGTGTAACTCTCAACTAAATGAGGTATGTGTTATTTTTTCTTGTCACACCTGCCTTACCTTTCTCCTCCTGCCGTACCTTTCTCCTCCTGCCTTACCTTTCTCCCCCCTACAGAGACCGATCCCATTGTATGTTGTGTCTGTATATCATCTCGATAAACACGTTTCTATATCTAAACCTCAGTCTTCATCGTTTTAGCTCCGTCCAAAAACAACTCAGAAAAATGACATTCACATATATTATAGAGAACTTTGAATTGACTGGGTTTGGTTGTTATTTTATTTTCTAAGCGTACTGTGAGCAATAACCACAAACACGTCACCTCCTGATGTAACGTTCTGCATTCCTTTGGCACCACTTGAAGCTGGAAATACGCGTTTTCAATGAAGGGGATTTACATCTATTGGGATTGTGTGTTTGTGGATTTAACGTGTATGACTGTGGATGAACCTCTCAGTCAAAAGGGAAACACTTTAGATTAGCCCTCACTAATTAACAGCTAATAAAAGTGCTAATGAGTGTATGCTAACCCTAACTCTAACCTTAACCCCAACCCCAACCGACATGGGAAAGTGTCAGTTAGATGTTGAATGAGGCTATGTAGAATTACAACTAATAAGTGATTAATAAATACCAATTAAGAGCCAATTAACCATAAACGATACATAAATTAGCTGTTTTATAGTGAGGGCTAAACTAAAGTGTTAATCAGACTTGGCTTTTAAACATGTTCAGGTGTAAGAATTGACCTGCTGCTAATGAAACATGTGACCAGTAGCAATATATGAAGTATTCTGTATATCTAGTTCATTATTGCACTTTTACGTTTACTTTTATTATCATTTTTTGGACTATTTTACACTAATGAGGCACCTTTATCTCAACCTTCACTGTCCTGCATGTGTAATGGATTTTGTAAAGGCCAGGAGCTGAAGTTACTATGGTTCTAGCAAACTTAAACTCAGTCCTAGATCCTTCACTCTCTGCCGGAAGGTCAAAGGGCAGAGGAGATTTATGGTTTTTGGACTTGCTGTTGTGTTGTTGTTTTTCTTTTGTGTTCTAAAAGTTTAATTTTCTAATCAATTGTTGCCAAACTGAGAACTCTTTGTCGCCCTCTGAGGTGACGGCTGTGGGCTGCAAAGAAATACGTGGATTTGATTTTAATTGTTGTGATAAGTGTGCGTTGAAAATCAGTATCTTTACATTCATCAAAGACTCAAATAACTGCCTGTGTTTGGGCTGCCACTAAAAACATGTTTGATTGAAGTTTATTCCACAAAACTATAAAGAAAATATACTTGTTTGTAAGTTTCTGGTGTCTATGGAAACGGTTTTGTTCCTGTAGACCTCGCTGTTGTGAAGAAAACATTGTTAATAAAATAAATGTACACCATGAGCCACTGTTAACAAGATTCAAGCAATTATTACCTCATATTTTAGATATTCTGTATTTAGTGCAACAGGAAGTCACAAACTAGGAATTTGCTTTGGCTCATGGTGCAAACAAGTTATAGTGTTGTATGTGCACTATGTACACAATAAATATTTAACAGTACAGTTAAAGTGACAGTAGCATAAAATGACACCAGTTTTGACAAATATTAAAGAAAAAAAAAGATACTTTTAATAAAACTTGTTGAAAACTGACTGATTTTTGGGGAGATTTCTTTCTGATATTGATTGACTTGAGTGAGAGTTTTAGTAGTTCAGTTGTGGCCTTACCTGCATGTGAAAGCCTGTCAGACCTCTGAAGCTAAGCAGGGCAGGACCTGGTTAATACTGTGATGGTATAGGCCTCTGGGAACACCAGGCCCCAACGTGGGGTGGCTGTTAAGTGCCAAACTGTGTTTAGCGTGTGTGTGAGTGTGTGTTGGTGGTAGTGGTCGGAGGAGCCATTGGCACAGACTGGTTGCCTTGCTTCTGCCAGTGTGTCCCAGGGCAGCTGTGGCTACAGAAGTAATGTATCACCACCATATATGGAGTGAAAGAATAATGACAGTCCAGAAAAGAGATGTATAAAACCGATGCATTATTATTTTCAGACTCCTGTTTTAAAGCCAGAGCGATACACATGACACAAACTGGAGCCGAAGTCTTTGATGATTGGTTTATTCACTCTCTGTTCTGTCTGAACAGTTTCTTGTAGCGTCCGTAAACTGCAGTAGAGATGATGACCTGAACCAGAGCCGAGCCTTCGTCTGCGATCACCTCCACGTCCTGAACCGTTGCCTCTCTGTACAACCAGCTGGGGGCAAAGAGAGACAACACCAGGCTTTACAGCTGGGGGAGGAACACGTTACATAAATGTGCTGCACTGACCTGAGCTGAGCCGTGCTGAGGTCCACTCTCAGACTCAGGATGTGTTTCCCAGTCGCGTTCAGAATCTTCTCCTCCACCACCGTCTTCAGCTCAGTCAGTCCTCGCTCTTCTAAGGCCGATACAGGTAAAACGCTGGGTTCTGGCGCCTCGTAGCTGGAAATTAGAGAAATTCACAATCAAATCCATCCATTCATTATTTTTCTTATGCTTTATCTGTTGCCGGGTCGCGGGGGCAGCAGTCCAAGCAGAGACGCACAGATTTCCCTCTCACTCACTTCCTCCAGCTCAGGGGAGATTTCTCACTTTTTCCCACTGGGTTTCTGAGTGGTTCCTCTCTGATGCAGGAGAGTCAAAGGACAGTGATGATCCAGGACATTTATTTACATGTATTAACAATAATGGACAGTGGTCATCCTGTGTTTGTTATTATTGTATTTCCTGTGTTTGAAAAGTTTGATTCTCCGATCTGTTGGAAAATTGACCACTTTGTAGACGAGACGACTGCTGTTGTGATTAAGGGCTTTACAAAAACTATTTGAATTGGATTGAATTTGTTGAATACATTAAAACTCATCCATTTCGATCACAGGAGAAAGCAGACGTTAGATCCAGATAAACTTTACTTACTTTTCAATGAGGTCGATTTTATTGTGGACTTCCACCATGGACCTCATCAGTGCATCTGGTATTTGAAGGTTCTTTAACACATTCAGAACATTAGCTTTCTGGTTCACAGTCTCTGGGTGGCTGATGTCTCGAACGTGAATAAGGAGATCCTGAAAAATAGTTCACAGATTATACATTTAAACTGCCAGAGGCTACAAAAGGGAACCAACATTCTTCATACATGATTGAGTCTAAATATAGTATTCTCACCATTTCCCTGCATACAGTCTATGGCAGGCATGTCCAAACTCAGGCCTGCGGGCCAATTGCGGCCTTCTGTGCCATTTTATGTGGCCCTTCTGCTGCTAACACAAAGTTGCCATTGAGGCACTTTGACAGTGTCAGCCAACCAACTTCAGCTCCACTAAGTCACGCTATACCCTGCAGTAAATCTCAGACCCTCTGGAATCCATAAATTGACTTTACTGTCACAACATTCCAAATAAAATACAGCTGTGTGAATCAATAAGGACGTATCACAACCCATTTTTATTTCCAGAATCCAGTCAATCCAGCTCAAATGGTCAAGTCTGATGAACTAAAGAAGCCCTCTTGTTAAAAAGTTTGGACACCACTGGTGATGGTCTAAACCAGTGGTCTCAAACATGAGCCCCGTGAAAAGGTGTTTTGTGGCCCCCTAGTGGTCATAAAACTTTAATGTCAGTGCAGCCCCCATTGACTCTGCGTTAATATGTTATACATTTTTTTTTAAAGCTAATCTAATCAATAAAACAACCGCAGCATTTATATCACCTTAAATATTGAACCCTGAATGCAACAAGCAATAATTCAAAGTAAACTTTATTAACCCCAGTCTATAACAAAGCCTATTTCTTTTCGTCCAGTTTTGTTTCAATCTCTGCAGTTGGACTCAAATGATATCAGATTCATATTCAATAAAAGTAATTATTTGGCCGAAACACCTCCAAGATACAAACAATGAGCTATAAACTTTCAACAAACGCTTGATTCTTGGTATTTACTGTATTGGTCTCTGTTACGACGTTTACCTTCTCTACTGTTAATGTTAAAGAATTAGGAGATTTGAAATGTACGGGCATGGTATATTTATCAGGAGCTAAACTGCGTGTGCAAATTACAATAGTAGTGTGTGCAGTTTTAGAAGTTCAATACAAACATCTATCTCAGATCTCTGCATGTACATAGATCTGTTTGCTCCGATGTTCATATGTGTTACACACACACAAACACTTGACAAACATAGCCCTTCGTTTGGCCCAGTTTCACCCACACTCCACCTCATGCGGCCCACAGGTGCATTGAGTTTGCGAGCCCTGGTCTATCCTCACCGAGTGCTTGATGTCCTCTAGAGTGGCGGAGAAGGAGTCAATGAGCAGGTGAGGCAGCTGCGACAGGAACCCGATAGTGTCCACGTACAGCACGCTCATGCGGCTCGGCAGCGTCCCGGCGTGTACCGTCACGTCCAGAGTTGCAAACAGTTGGTTCCTCGGCTGCAGGCCACAGTCACCGGTCAGAGCTTTGATCAGGGTGGTCTTTCCTACAGAGGGGAGGACACTGGTCAAGTCATTTTTGTACAGCGAAAAACGGCTACAGCAGATGTCTCAAAGGACAAAACTGAGGATTGGCCAAAAGCAGATTAAGAAAGAATATCTATAAATACAGCAAATGTCATATTACGTAATTTCTCCCTTCCACTCATGTCCAAAAACTGTAATAAATCCAGAATTCTGCCAGCCGCCTGCTCCAGAGAACACATTCCCCCCATCCTCAAACAAGTCCACTGGCTCCCTGCTCATACTGCATACGATATAAGGTCCTCCTCATCGTCTACAAGTCCCGACACAACACATCAGGAACTCAGACTCACTTCAGAACTTCAAGTCACTGCTCTAAACCCACCTGTTCAAAACTGCCCACACTTAACTGTTCCTCTTAGCTTTTTATTTATTCATTTATTTATTCTATTCCAACCTGTCCTTTGGTGAAGCATCTTTGTGTCTCCAATATGCTACACAGGAGTAGCTCTGCCATGTTTATTCCAAACAAGTTCTCTGGGGGTAAAGGTTGGCATCCCAGGTCCTTTACTCCTCCTTCATAGGGAAAACCCGGAGAACAACGACAGATCCACTCCCAAATATACACACTGATGACAAATAAGTCAAAAATGTGTCTTAATTTGGGCACATTTTCACCGTCTTATAACAAGATTTGCCACTGGGACAAAGCACAATGATCTTGTTTTAAAAAATATGCAAGAAATGTCTCACTTGGAATGAGAAAATAAAGCAACAGTTCTAAATGGCTTTGTCCCATTGGAGAATATTGTTTTGGTCAGAATGTTCTCGACTTAAGATAATAAACATCTCAGCAGTGCAAGCCTTCCCTCACAGTCCTCCACATGGTTCGCGTACCACAGTTTGTGTATCCTAACACGGACACGACAGGGAACTCCTTGTGTTTCCTCTGGGAGCGCAGCAGGTGCCTCTTCCTGCGCAGTTTGTCCAGAGCCGAGCGGATCTTCAGCTCGCGCTCCTTCAACAGCCGCTGCTGCACCTCGTACAGAGTCTCACCTGCAAACACACAATTACAACCACGGTAAAACAAACAAGTAAACACTTAGAAATGCCCGTATTATTTAAATAAAATGACTCTTTTCTATGAGTATAACATTACATGTCAATAGAATACCTTTTCAGTTCAGTTCTTATGCTACATTCTTGCAGCTAATTGTGTCATAAGGCTAAAAGATGATTGGAAAACCTTTGTCATTTGACCACGCCAGCCTCTATCTCTCAGTTGGTAAGAATAACGATGTTCCTTTCTGGTGGAAGGGAATGAGGCTAGAGTTTAGACTTTTAATACAGCTCTACACAAGCAGAGCTGGAGTAAAATCTATTCTGTGAGCCACAGGGAGCTAGTGCAGAGACCTGAGAACGAGACGAAAGTGGTCCTGGTTCTAGTCACCTCAGTTGCATCGTTTGCTGTAACTATGAATGTATGATGATAAAATAACAAACATTGTAGTTGTCAGGTAGCAGTCATTACCTGAACCCCCAATGTACCTCGCTCCTCCTCCCTGCTGATCCAAGTTTACCATTTCATTTTTCAGTCGAGACCTGGAGAAAACACCAAAATATTCACAGTATGCATCCAAAAATAAAATGGTAAAAAGATACAAGTGTTGTTTATATGGATATATAAACTGTACATACTTTAACAGAGGGATTTCTGCCAGAGAGATCTGCAGTTTGGCCTCTTTGGTTTTAGCGTTGCATCGGAAGATATGGAGGACAACAGAGTATCTGTCGAAGACTTTGAGTCCCCAGGCCTCCTGCAGCTCCCTCTGAGCATGAGAGAAGTGTTAGTTATTTTAACAGTGTGACGTTTGTGTATTGAGTGGACAATGAGAGGGTTAAAACTAACTCACCTCAGAAACAGGAGACAGACGCTCGACGTTGACAAAGACAGCTGTGATTCCAGAAGTTTGTCTGATTCTCTCTAAAGAAAAACAAAGAATTTTGTGTATAAATGCATATTTCAATAATAGAGAGTAATCAATCTATTCCACTTCAAATGGTTCTTTTTCTTATTTCTCTCTTCAAATTATTTTTGTACCGTCCTAAATCACAACACAAGTCGTCTCGGAGTGTTACAAAGCTGTAGATCCAGGACTGAGGCTGTAGATCCAACCAACGGCTCCCATCTGTATGTTATTATTGCTCCTGTGTTTGAACTGGTTGATTCTCTGATCTGCTGTTGGCGAATCGACAACTTTGTAAAGTCCTTCGAGATAACTACTGTTGTGATATAGGCCTTCACACAAATACATTGAATGGAATTGAATTAGCCAATGGGTATTAGTAGGGCTGCACAATATTGGAAATTACAGCAATATTTGATATGAGTGTTTAGTATTCCAATAACGATATTATTGCAATGTTTTTGTCTTTCACCTAAAATTGCAATCTGCATTGAAACATAAGGGACAAATAACAAAAAACAGAGGGACATTTTCAGAGTAAAATGTGCAGGATCGAACTAAAAGGACTAAATAAATGTCAGTTCAAATATTACTAATATATAGAAATGAGGCTGTGCACAGACAGTACCAGAGAGGACTTGGAAGTTTCCTTTTCCAAAGATCCTCTTCTTCTCTGGGGTTTTGGTCGACAGGATGATCTTATCCACCACTCGCCAGTTTTCCAAAGTGTTTATGAGTCCCTCTGCCTCGGCCACCATCAGGTCAGCTGAAACAAAGAAACAGGATTGACTTTAAGGTAAATGTATTCTTACTAGGGGTGGCAAAAGTACTAGTCAAGAGTTGAAATCTGGTAAAAGTAATGATAAATATAATCTTAAAGGTATTTAGGCGAATTTGACCAAATTTAAGGAAAGAAACGTCCTCACCACTTTTTGAACAAAACTCACTGATCATATTTGACGATCACGTATCACCAGAAGGATTGGCAATTGGGAGGGCCAACAGTCTTGATGATCCACCCGGGAGTAGAAAATCGTCCTTGACCTAATATTGCCCAGGATTGACCCATTTACACAAAAATTCTTATTGCACACATGCTGCACCCAACATTATCAATTGTGCTCACAGGTTTGAGACCACTATTTTAGGTGACCTTTAAATGATTATAGTCCTATTAAATCCTTACCAGTGGATGTACTATAGTCCTTACTATGGTTCTTACCCGTGGATGCTTAATGGTCGTTACTATGGTCCTTATTATGAATATGGTCTTTGGCCCTTTGGTGTACTATGGTCCTTACTCCTGGGTGTGTTATGGTCCTTACTCCTGGGTATGTTATGGTCCTTACTCCTGGGTGTATTATGGTCCTTACCTGTGGATGCTTAATGGTCGTTACTATGGTCCTTATTATGAATATGGTCTTTGGCCCTTTGGTGTACTATGGTCCTTACTAGGGATGTAAAAAAACTATGAATTTTCATGACCGACCACCGAGCCTCATTAACCGGTTGAAACCGGTTAACCGCGTAGTTTAAAATAGTCCACGTTCTTTGAAATAACAGCCATTTCGAGCCGCGTACTTTTCATAAGTGCAGCTCTGCGTTCTACTGGATGAGAGTTGAGACAGCGGCACCAAAACCCACAACAGCTCCGGCACCTTTGCGCACAGAGAACTGCTTTTTTAATCTTCCCATTCTGCTGTGCTGCGGGTTAATACCAAAACTTTCTAGCAGCAAACGACGGCTCGTTCACATGGTCAGAGCAGCGAGTGACGAGCCGCGTCTCACAGGTCTTCACAAAAGTTTAAATACAAGTGATGTGTGTGGAGCTGATCCCGAGGACCATAAACACAAACATGTTCCATGTGGTTTGACTGGAGCCGCGTATTTGCGCGAATCCTTTGGGCTCCGTGACACAGAGGAGCGCGACAGACCGGTATGAGTGTGTGTATGTGTGTGTGTGTGTATGTATATGTGTGTGTGTGTAAATGTAAGCTCCAATGTAGTTCTGACCCGCGCCAGTGTGCAACTTTGACGGTAACAGAGGGGAGAGATGATGCGTGTGGATGTTACGTATAGAGAGGGGGAAAGTGTGTGTGTGTGTGTGTGTGTGTGTGCATATGTGGCTCGTGCGGCGTGAGAGTCGTCCCGGAGTTTATAATACATGGGCGCACACAGCTAGATACAGACCCGCTCGTCACATCGTGCAAAAAGGGCTTAAAATAGCGTTATTAAGAGACCTTCCCTCTCCCCTTTTTCTCTTTTTTAACCGACAGCTTTGACCGGTTAACGCTGTGACGGTCAACCACCGGTTAAACGGTCGCCGATTTACATCCCTAGTCCTTACTCCTGGGTATGTTATGGTCCTTACTCCTGGGTATATTATGGTCCTTACTCCTGGGTATATTATGGTCCTCACTCCTGGGTGTGTTATGGTCCTTACTCCTGGGTATATTATGGTCCTCACTCCTGGGTGTATTATGGTCCTTACTCCTGGGTGTATTATGGTCCTTACTCCTGGGTGTATTATGGTCCTTACTCCTGGGTGTATTATGGTCCTTACTCCTGGGTGTATTATGGTCCTTACTCCTGGGTGTATTATGGTCCTTACCCGTGGTCAGATGCTGCTTCCTGCTCCCCCACTTCACATCAGGCTGAACTATGAAGACCCGGTGGTGACTGTGGCCGACCCCCAGAGGTCCGTGCGCCTGGAACAGCTCCTCCACCTCCGCGTCCGGGAGGAACTCATCTTCATCCTCCTCCTCCTCATCCTCCTCCGTGAACCGCCCAGTGTCCTTCAGAGCTCTCCCAGACAACACTAAACCTCTCCTCTGCACATACCCACCAGTACAGCCACACTTGTTAACCCTCGACTTTTGAATGACCCGAGTGATGGCGGGACAGAAGTTTGTGGTTCGAGTTGACATGCAACAACTCCGTACTAGCAACACACGAGCGGCAATCTTCCCCACAGCGGCCATTTACGACGATAAAAGTGTCCTAGGTTTCATTATTCAACGCGTATTTGGAAGCGTCCTGAGTGGAGTCCACACAGGTTTGACATATGCTCCACTGTTTACATATGGACTTCCTCTTCGGAGCCGGTGAGAAGGAGATAGATGCACACTGCCATCTAGAGGAGTTTGAGAGTACTGCACCAACAGGCACCAGTCTATCAGATCTGACCTGTCTGATATTTCTTGCACTAGAGTATACAGTACTTTATACTTTTCTGCTTTATTAAACTAAAGATAGAGATTTCATTCTATTTTTAAAAGTATGGAGTTGTGCTTTAGTTAATAATCACTTACCTTGTGTGTGTGCTCATCATTCATACTGTTTTGTAACTTGTGATGCAACACTGAATTGTATCCACTGTGGGGCGATTAAATGATGTCTTCATCTTAATCTTGATCTTACACAGTGATGAGAGTACCATATATGGCAATAATTAACTTACAGAATATCTATAGTGTAAATCATATCCTGAAGTTGAAGCATTGTATGAAGCAAGTATGACATGTATAGACTCAGCAGTTCTCATTGTACAGTCTGACAGCAGCAGGAAGGAAAGACCTGCGGAACCTCTCCTTCACACAGCGAGGGTGGACCAGTCTGTCACTGAAGCTACTTTCCAGAGTAAACAGAGTGTCCTGCATGGAGTGACAGTCATGGTCTACAGAGATGTTATACTTTTAGATTCTGTTGAGAGGAGCAACTATAAAGTACCCCAGTCCAGCTTAGGGTAGTACATTGAAGTGAGATTTCCTATATTTGCAGAAGGTTTATGCTGTTTACTGTACACATTGTTTTGTTAGTGCAACACGTCCCCATACTCCGTCTCCGTCACCTCCTCCTCTTCCCCTTCCACCTCTGGGCGTGTGTCAGGAGGAGCGCGCCCCGGTGTGTGTGTGGGGAAAGCGGTCAGACAGGTCCTGGATTCTGCCCCGGGACCTGAGGCTCCGCTTGTGGGTGTCTCCTCCACTGGCTCCGCTCCTAATGCCCACAGCTGAATCCTAATGGAGCTATATCTGTAATACTGGATCAACAAACCCATGTCCCTCCCTGAGAAGTCCGCCTTAAAGACGCACCAGGTCCCGGGTGAGTGCGCAGACAAGCCGCAACACGACACACAATGAATTCCTAATTTGTGAGTAACTGCAGAAGACAGAGGCGTCAGAAAGACAAAGGAGGAAGTGGAGATAAAGCCATGCACGTTGCCGATAGAATGTGTATTTGTGTTTGTTATGGCGCTTCTAAAGAACTCGTGGATCATAAATAATATTGTTTTTTTCAGCTGCGGGGGGCAATGCCGGTGGTACAGTGGAGCCCCGCTCTGCTCCTGGGGTTATTCACGGTCTGTTCGTGTGTAGGTGAGTCCCATGTGTTACCAAAATAATAGAACATTGTTTTTTTTTTTTATAATAAATGTATGTGTTGGTCCGGTCTGCCAAATGTGTGTTTCATTCATACCAGGGCAAAGGGAAAAGTAAGACATGAGTTTTACATATTGAGGCAATAGACTGACGCCTTACTTACATAACCCTTTAAGGATCACCTAATTTCGCCTGCTCCTTCTTGAATTATGATACCCAAATGGAAATGCTTATTGTGTGGACATCTTGTGTCTGATTTTGTGTTATGAGGCCTCATTTGAAAGGTAACACCTTCTAGTTTCTGGAAATGTATGTTACAGTTTCTTAGGAAGGACACAGTCTGCACTACACCTTATCAAACATGAGTCAAAGTTAGTTTTTTTTGTCTCGAAAAAAAAAAGGCAATTTCAAAATAATCTCCTGAAAACATACTTTATGGTATGTTGTTCAAACTCACCAGAGCAGATGTCTGTGGTGTTGGCAACAACTGTATGCAATTTTAGACCTTTAGATGAAACCATTTTGATGCTGGGGGCTTTTTTGTGACTAATGGGCACATTCGGCCCATTCGGCACAAGCGGTCCACAAGTGTTTTACATGCAAATTATCAACGTTATTACACCAAAAATCAAATTATATCATTTTTTGGCTATTACTCTTGCTATAAATAGGATTTTTTCCAGATATTGAAATGTTTACAGAAAAGCTATTATTTATATAGATATAGCGCGTGTTCTCCGTGAAAATGCTCCGCTTTCCACTCTTACGCATTCAAATAACACTCGAACAGTGGGAGGAACCTTGAAGTCCGACACATCGCCTGAAACCTGAGATTATTGGCTACAAGATGGTTTGATTGACATCCAAGTCGGCCAATGGTAGTCAAGACAATGCTGTCGTGACGCACAGATATCTATATGACTGGAGCGGTAAAGTTAGGTGCGCTTGTTTTACTCAACTCACTCTACCTTCCAAACCATAGCACTGAAAAGGTCGGGAATGGGCTTGTTTTGAAGGGAAGACAGAGAGGAAGACGAACATACCCAGTGACGTTAGGTAAATAGTAACATGCCTTCTTCATACAGTGCGCAACGAACAGGTTTTGTTTTCGTTTGTACAACTTTTGATACTCAAATGTGTAGTTACAACTGGATATCTACTATAAGGATGACTTTGTAGAAAAAACAACTGGATATAATTATTCTATGAACCCTCACGAACAAAACGAATGCACACATGTGTGGATTAGACGTGATTTGCCCCAGAATATTAGCATGAAAACGTAAGAAAGGACGATGTATATTTTATATACATATACAGTTTGATTCCTTTATTTTAACATAATACGCGTTTAGAGGTGGGAATAAGCTTTCAAAAGAGATATAGCTTGACTATATTGACACAAGTGAATTCTAATAGTGATGCTGTTAAATGACAAATATCTGAATCCTCCCTGTACAGGGAGGGTGATCCTTAAAAGGTTAATTATCTATTTCAAACACTTTTCATAAATATATGATGTCTTTGTATGTTTTAAGGTTGTCATGTTTGTTCTTATAGGAGTAAGGCCTACATATAGGATCAAGTGAAGTCATATTATTCATCTTTATTTCGGATTCAAGTTCAATTCATAATTCATTCATTCATAATATTAGATAGTAGCATGTTGTGTTAAATGAGAAATGGAAAAGAAAACTTGGCACTGGTCTGACATTCTTCATTTTGGTTTTACACATGGATGATTGGGCTCCAACTAAAATATTATCATTTTAATAGAATTAAACAATGTGTTTATCTTAAATAAGTGCTCAAACTGGTGAATGTAGCTTGAAATACAAAGGAAACAGTTTGTTGAAAAGCTAGATGCTAACTGTTGCAAGTAAACAGTGTGTTGCTAACTTGCTCCAAGCTGAGATTGCTCTGAACCAGTCATGGAGCTGTCAAAAAGTCACATTAAAACAAAAATCTACACTACATAAAGCATAGAAGTAATGCATCATATGCTTTTTTCTTTTCTTCTCTCTCTCTCTCTCTCTCTTGTGTATATATATACAATTTACATATACAGTGCCTTGCGAAAGTATTCGGCCCCCTTGAACCTTTCAACAGTTCGCCACATTTCAGGCTTCAAACATAGATATAAAAATTACATTTTTTGTCAAGAATCAACAACAAGTGGGACACAATCGTGAAGTGGAACAAAATTTATTGGATAATTTAAACTTTTTTAACAAATAAAAAACCTAAAAGTGGGGTGTGCAATATTATTCGGCCCCCTTGCACTACTACTTTGTAGCGCCAACCTTTTGCTGCAATTACAGCTGCAAGTCGCTTGGGGTATGTCTCTATCAGTTTTGCACTTCGAGAGACTGGAATTCTTGCCCATTCTTCCTTGCAAAACAGACCGAGCTCAGTGAGGTTGGATGGAGAGCGTTTGTGAACAGCAGTCTTCAGCTCTTTCCACAGATTCTCGATTGGATTCAGGTCTGGACTTTGACTTGGCCCTTCTGACACCTGGATACGTCTATTTGTGAACCATTCCATTGTAGATTTGGCTTTATGTTTTGGATCATTGTCCTGTTGGAAGATAAATCTCCGTCCCAGTCTCAGGTCTTTTGCAGACTCCAACAGGTTTTCTTCCAGAATGGTCCTGTATTTGGCTCCATCCATCTTCCCATCAATTTTAGCCATCTTCCCTGTCCCTGCTGAAGAAAAGCAGGCCCAAACCATGATGCTGCCACCACCATGTTTGACAGTGGGGATGGTGTGTTCAGGGTGATGAGCTGTGTTGCTTTTACGCCAAACATATTGTTTTGCATTGTGGCCAAAAAGTTCAATTTTGGTTTCATCTGACCAGAGCACCTTCTTCCACATGTTTGGTGTGTCTCCCAGGTGGCTTGTGGCAAACTTTAAACAAGACTTTTTATGGATATCTTTGAGAAATGGCTTTCTTCTTGCCACTCTTCCATAAAGGCCAGATTTGTGCAGTGCACGACTGATTGTTGTCCTATGGACAGACTCTCCCACCTCAGTTGTAGTTATCTGAAGTTCATCCAGAGTGATCATGGGCCTCATGGCTGCATCTCTGATCAGTCTTCTCCTTGTTTGAGATGAAAGTTTGGAGGGACGGCCGGGTCTTGGTAGATTTGCAGTGGTCTGATACTCCTTCCATTTCAATATAATTGCTTGCACAGTGCTCCTTGAGATGTTTAAAGCTTGGGAAATCTTTTTGTATCCAAATCCGGCTTTAAACTTCTCCACAACAGTATCTCGCACCTGCCTGGTGTGTTCCTTTGTCTTCATGGTTCTCTCTGCGCTTTAAACAGAACCCTGAGACTGTCAAAGAGCAGGTGCATTTATACGGAGACTTGGTTACACACAGGTGCATTCTATTTATCATCATCAGTCATTTAGGACAACATTGGATCATTCAAAGATCCTCACTGAACTTCTGGAGTGAGTTTGCTGCACTGAAAGTAAAGGGGCCGAATAATATTGCACGCCTCACTTTTCAGTTTTTTATTTGTTAAAAAGTTTAAATTATCCAATACATTTCGTTCCACTTCATGATTGTGTCCCACTTGTTGTTGATTCATGACAAAAAATTACAATTTTATATCTTTGTTTGAAGCCTGAAATGTGGCAAAATGTTGAAAGGTTCAAGGGGGCCGAATACTTTCGCAAGGCACTGTATATATACAATTTACATATATATATATATATATATATATATATATATATTTACACATATATACATGGACGTCGGAACTATTTTCTGAGAGGGGGGGCGGGTTTTTGTTGGGAGAGTCGAGGGAGAGACTCATACTTGGATTACACTGGATAATAACATACCATCTTAATTGTTAAGAAAACAAAAAATAAACAATATATATCAAGCAAGTCACTTATCAAACTGAACATTGTTTTTTTCAATACGCATTCATGCGTCAGTCTCTCCGGTGGCTTCATTGTGTTGTGTAGCCCAGTGACGTGCGGTCAGATGAGATGAGGCAGGTAAGGCCCTCACCTATAGGTGGTCCGCATAAGATCATAGAAAGAAAAGTAATAAAATGGATACAATAATGTTTGGTCACTTTATCAAGTGATTTGTGCTGTACATTATTTCAATGTAACTTTGCCTTATTTCATTTATTTATACCTTGAAATTGCAGATTTGACAGAGCGGCGCTGTGAGGCAAGCCTCTCTTGGGAGACGTAAAAGCAACAGCTCACAGGGAGAGTCCTGTGAGGTGCTATCAAACTGTTTTCTCTGTTTATCACAGTTTAAAAAGTTCAAAAATATTTAATTTACAATCAACATGTTTACATTTAAGAGGATGGCTCATAAATTGTGTTTTTGAAGCATATATGGGTCTTAATCGCGCTCAACCACAGCTTGTAAGTGAGGAAAGCCTCAAGGGGGCGCTTGTGTGCCCAAACTTTGGCTGCATCCAATTCCATCAGAAAGCTCCTTTCTTGTTCTTCTTCTGCTAAGGGCAGCTACAGGTTTGGCTAACATACCTATAATACATTTTAAGATCATTTAAAATGCACATAGAGTAATGTTTTGCTTCCAATGATGATCTGAATCAAAAGAAAAGGAGGTGAAGGGTAAGGTTGAATTTAGAAATTGGATTTACCCGGGAGTCGGCTGCAGCAAAACTCGAGGAGTTTACGGAGGAGACACCCGTTTGTTTTACTTTTTAAAACTCATTGAACTTATTTCCAAATGGAGGATTACATGTCTGTGCTCAAACTATTATCTGGACTTAAACATGAAACTGGTCCTAACTGAAGTGGTCTGTGCTGTTCATTAATACCTAAGGTAAGGCCCATAACGCACTTTGTACTTTTTACAAACGTTTGCGTTTTGTATGAGAAAACTATGCAGACATTAAATCTTATTCTGCTGTAGCCAAACAAATTGTGTATAAGGTTTATATGATGTATAATCATATGATTGATCCCCCACCCCACCGCACGCCACTGGTGTAGCCAGGTCTCTAATCTGCGCAAGGCTGAGAAAGAGCACTCAGAGGCTGCGACAGATATTAGCCAGACAGAGCTTCATAAGCACCTCCGACAGCATGGAGCGGGTTTTGGGCTGCAAGGAACGCAGGATAGTGATAACTTCTCGCTCCCGCCACACGCGGAGGGGGTGCGGCCGCACCCCCCGCACCCCTAGTTCCGACGTCTATGCATATATATCATTGTGTTTCAAAAATTCTTGTTTTTCACATTATATGAAAGGAGAGCCATTGGTTCCCCACCAGTTCAACCAACACAGTTAAATCATACAAAGTGGGACAAAAAAGTATTTAGTCTGCCACTGATTGTGCAAGTTCTCCCACTTAAAATAATTACAGAGGTCTGTAATGTTCATCATAGATACACTTCAACTGTGAGAGACAGAATGTGAAAAAAAAATCCAGGAATTCACATTGTAGGATTTTTAAAGAATTTATTTGTAAATTATGGTGGAAAATAAGTATTTGGTCAATAACAAAAATTCAACTCAATACTTTGTACTATAACCTTTGTTGGCAATAACAGAGGTCAAACGATTACTATAGGTCTTTACCAGGTTTGCACACACAGTAGCTGGTATTTTGGCCCATTCCTCCATGCAGATCTTCTCGAGAGCAGTGATGTTTTGGGGCTATCGCCGAGCAACACGGACTTTCAACTCCCTCCACAGATTTTCAATGGGGTTGAGGTCTGGAGACTGGCTAGGCCACTCCAGGACTTTCAAATGCTTCTTACGGAGCCACTCCTTCATTGCCCGGGCGGTGTGTTAGGGATCATTGTCATGCTGGAAGACCCAGCCACGTTTCATCTTCAAAGCTCTCACTGATGGAAGGAGATTTTGGCAAAAAATCTCACGAGACATGGCCCCATTCATTCTTTCCTTAACACGGATCAGTCGTCCTGACCCCTTAGCAGAAAAACAGCCCCAAAGCATGACGTTTCCACCCCCATGCTTCACAGTAGGTATGGTGTTCTTGGGATGCAACTCAGTATTCTTCTTCCTCCAAACACGACGAGTTGAGTTTATACCAAACAGTTCTACTTTGGTTTCATCTGACCACATGATCCATCCATCCATCCATTTTCTACCCTTTAATCCATTTCTGGGTCAGGGGGGTGAAAATCAGAGATGCCACCCCAGTCTCATAGCACCAGCCCCTCACTGACCCTCTGCAGGTGGTGAGTCCACAGGAGGACTGCTGCTCTCTGAGTGTGAGCATAGCCTTGATCTTTCAGCGGGGGCTTTGGGCAAAGTGGGGTTAGGTGTCTTGCCCAAGGACACAACGACAGCAGTCATAAGTGGGAGTCGGTGGAGAAGGTGTGGAGGTGGGAATTGAACCCACGAGCTTCAGGCCTGAAGGCCAATGCTCTCTGCTCTCTGGCAAACTTCAGACGGGGCTGAACATGCACTGGCTTCTGCAGGGGGACACGTCTGGCACTGCAGGATTTAATTCCCTGTCGTTGTAGTGTGTTACTGATGGTAACCTTTGTTACTTTGGTCCCAGCTCTCTGCAGGTCATTCACCAGGTCCCCCCGTGTGCTTCATGGATTTTTGATCACTGTTTTCATGATCATTTTGACCCCACGGGATGAGATCTTGCGTGGAGCCCCAGATCGAGGGAGATTATCAGTGGTCTTTTATGTCTTCCATTTTCTGATAATTGCTCTCACAGTTTATTTGTTCACACCAAGCTGCTTGTCTATTGTAGATTCACTCTTCCCAGTCTGGTGCAGGTCTACAATTCTTTTCCTGTTGTCCTTCGACAGCTCTTTGGTCTTGGCCATAGTGGAGTTTGGAGTCTGACTGTTTGAGGCCGTGGACAGGTGTCTTTTATACAGATAACGAGTTCAAACAAGTGCCATTAATACAGGTAACGAGTGGAGGACAGAAGAGCTTCTTAAAGAAGAAGTTACAGGTCTGTGAGAGCCAGAGATCTTCCTTGTTTGAAGTGACCAAATACTTATTTTCCACCATAATTTACAAATAAATTCTTTAAAAATCCTACAATGTGGATTCCTAGATTTTTTTTTTCACATTCTGTCTCTCACAGTTGAAGTGTGCCTATGATGACAATTACAGACCTTTGTCAGTATTTTAAGTGGGAGAACTTGCACAATCGGTGGCTGACTAAATACTTTTTTGCCCCACTGTATGTAGAACTAAGACAACCACTCAAAAGAGAGAGCCCTCTATAGAGCCACAGCAACCTTCTCCGGCACCATCAGAATTTTACCATTCTTTTAAAAAATCCAGTTTCCTAGTACCTACTTTTGACCTTGTATGTGTGTGTCTCTCAGATGAGGAGTGTATCGTTGGTATTGTGGGTCACCCTGTGCTGCTGCCCTGTTATCCCCACACTGACCTCCTGAGGCTCCAGAACGTGACGCTGGAGTGGAGGGAGGAGGGAGAGGTGGTTTTAAAGGCAGAGTGGAAGCAGGATGGAGATGTGCTGGTCTGGAGTCTGAACAGCGCCTCTATCGCCAACAATGCTCTGCACACGGGGAACCTGTCTCTGTCGCTGCCCAGAGTCAGCCCCAAAGAGGATCAGAGGGTCTACAGTCTGGTCATGACCCCAGCAGAGAACGGGAGCCTCCTGCTGTGCTCCAGGTGCCTCAAGACGGCAGGTTAGTCCAGCGGTTCACAACCTTTTTGTTCCTTCTTACCTCTCACCACTGAGGCCACTAAGATAAGATAAACCTTTATTCGTCCCTCAGTGGGTGCATTTCTATGTCATTGTTGGGCACATTACAACAGAATAGAAGGATAAATTAAATCAGCAAGCGGCGTCGAACGGCCCTCGCCGCACCGCGCGACTCCCCGCACCGCGCGCACCACCCCGCCGTCCTTTATCACGCCGCCCCGCGGCAAGCTGCAACGCGCCACTCCACAACGCCCCGCACTACGCCGCACCACACCATACCACGCAGCACCGCTCAAAGGAGGTGGCGCCGCCGTGTGATTTGTTCCCGTAGCCATAGAAGATTGTTAGTCAAATTGTAATGAATATGATAAGTAGAGCTGGTTTGGCTCCCCATGTAAACTTTGACTCAGTCTGTAGGGGGCGCTAATGGGCCAATTTCATATATTTCCCTTTCACCTGACCTAAACCCTGGAGTTGAACAATGGATTCATGTTTAATGCAAATCAGACTTTGCACAAACAAACGGGAAAAAAATTAATGTTGTCAAAAACCCTCATATTTTGCCGCTTCGCTGCTCAAACAACGTTTCACTGATCAAAATTCTCTGAAGTTATTTTGAAGGTAAATGTGTTGAGATGAACCGTCCGGCGCCTCAGGAGGGGGAAGCAGTGCTTTGCCAACACTGTTTATGGTGGGGGTGGAGAGCTGCTGACCTCGACTGGGGATATTGTCGGGCGGTGGAAGGAATACTTCGAGGTTCTCCTCAACCCCTGTGTCACGTCCTCCGCCCCGGAGGCAGAGGCTGAGGATGTTGGGGCGGATACTTCCATCTCCAGTGTTGTGCCAGTTCACAGCTTTTCTGAACTAGTTCAAGTTCAGTTCATACATGCTCAAAGTGAACAGTTCACGTTCAAAGTTCACATTTTTAATTCTGAACTAGTTCAAAGTTCAGTTCATTTTACTTATTTCGTGAGATACTTAAATACATATTTTTTTCACACTACGAGCTATATATATATATATATATATATATATATATATTATATTATATATCTCCTGTACACCCACAGGAGGAGAGTCTTTTGACTAAAAAACAGACTAGATTTACATGGTTTTCAATGGGAGCAAAACGGAGTTGCTCCATCTCTGCTCATAAACTACAGACAGTAATGCGCTGCAGTGCGTGTGTCTATACTTCATGTCAAATGTAAACGGTGTAAACTTTGTCGCCAACTCACCCAGTGTTTTCATCACGACTGGGCACATGTGAAAAGCACCAGCTCACAGCGCCGCACCACAACACAGAGTCGGGGTGCGTTCACAGACGGTGGAAACCGTAGGAATTTTTAGATTTCGGCGGAAAAAGTGCGAGAATACAGGAGGGAGGAACTTTCTCTCGTTGCGTTTCAAAAGAGAAAACAGATTCCAACGTTCATAGTGATGTCTGCCGTTCATGACACATAAAATGAACTAATTCACGTTCAAGTTCTTTTTTTAAAAATGTGTTGCGTTCAGTTCAACGTTCACGAAAAAATGAGCGTGTTCAATGAACGCGTTCTTTTGAACTCGTTCACGCACAACACTGTCCATCTCCAAGGTGGTTGGCAGCCTCCATGGTGGCAAGGCGCCGGGAGTGGATGAGATCCGCCCTGACTATCTAAAGTCTCTGGATGTTGTGGGACTGTCTTGGCTGACAAGTCTCTGCAACATCGCGTGGCGATCGGGGGCGGTGCCAATGGAGTGGCAGACCGGGGTGGTGGTCCCTCTCTACAAGAAGGGGGACCGGAGGGTGTGTTCCAATTATCGTGGGATCACACTCCTCAGCCTCCCTGGTAAGGTCTACTCCAAGGTACTGGAGAGGAGGCTACGGCCGATGGTCGAATCTCGGATTCAGGAGGAGCAGTGTGGTTTTAGTCCCGGCCGCGGAACACTGGACCAGCTCTATACTCTCCATCGGATACTCGAGGGTTCATGGGAGTTCACCCAACCTGTCCACATGTGCTTTGTGGATTTGGAGAAGGCGTTCGACCGTGTTCCCCGAGGTGTTCTTTGGGGGGTTCTCCGGGAGTACGGGGTCCGGGGTCCTCTGCTGAGGGCCGTTCGGTCCCTGTATGACCGGAGCGAGAGCTGTGTTCGCATTGCCAGCAGTAAGTCAGACCTGTTCCCGGTGCATGTTCTTCGTTCCCTCCCTCACCTATGGTCATGAGCTTTGGGTAGTGACCGAAAGAACGAGATCGCGGATACAAGCGGTCGAAATGAGCTTCCTCCGCAGAGTGGCTGGGCGCTCCCTTAGAGATAGGGTGAGGAGCTCGGTCACACGGGAGGAGCTCGGAGTAGAGCCGCTGCTACTCCAAGTCGAGAGGAACCAGTTGAGGTGGCTCGGGCATCTGTTCCGGATGCCTCCTGGACGCCTCCCTGGGGAGGTGTTCCGGGCACGTCCCACTGGGAGGAGGCCCCGGGGAAGACCTAGGACACGCTGGAGGGACTATGTCTCTCAGCTGGCCTGGGAACGCCTTGGGGGTCCCCCCGGACGAGCTGGAGGAAGTGTGTGTGGATAGGGAAGTCTGGGCGTCTCTGCTTAGACTGCTGCCCCCGCGACCCGGCAACGGATGAAGCGGAGGAAAACGGACGGAAAGGACGGACGTGTTGAGATGATTTGGAACAATTTTGAGGCCAATCGGTGAAACGGCCGAGGAGTCGCCGCTTTCCAACCGACGTGTATGAAAATGATTGGTTTTAATTTTTCCATTTTGATAAGATAAGATAAGAATTCCTTTATTCGTCCCAATGTGGGGAAATTTCGATGTTGCAGCGCACATATAGGACAGTAGTAAGAGCACACAGGGAGCACACACAATACAGTATATACACTATATACAAATAAGTAGTAGCTATGTTTCTTAACTAACATAACTAGCTGTAGATGCTGAAAATGCTTCAATACCAGTCAAAAATATATATGTAGTAGTGCAGTTATATACTGTACTTATATACTTTTTATCCTGCACTATTTAACTGTAAAGTGACATGAGGTAAAGTGACATTGTTCTGTGACATCCTGAAGTTGCAGTATTGCACATTGCACATAATTTAAGAATTTACTTAATTACAGATGAATGAAATTTACAGGCTCAGCAGTTCTTATTGTACAGTCTGACAGCAGCAGGAAGGAAAGACCTACGGAACCTCTCCTTCACACATCGAAGGTGAATTAGTCTGTCACTGAAACTGCTCTCCAGAGCAGAGAGAGTGTCCTGCAGGGGGTGACAGTCATGGTCCAGCATAGATGTTAGTTTGCTCAGGACCCTCCTGTCCCCCACCTGCTGCATTGTGTCCAGGGAACAGCCCAGGACTGAGCTGGACTTCCTGATGACCTTGTCCAGCTTCTACCTGTCCCTCTCTGTGATGCTGCTGTTCCAGCAGACCACACCGTACAAGATGGCTGATGCCACCACAGAGTCATAGAAGTTCTTCAGGAGTGGCCCCTGCACTCCAAAAGACCTAAGCCTCCTCAGTAGGTAGAGGCGACTCTGGCCCTTCTTGAAGAGGGCGTCTGTGTTATGAGTCGAGTCCAGTTTGTGGTTCAGATGAACACCCAGGAGTAGATAGTATTGACGGCGGTAGAGAGCAAGTGGTGAAAAGGTGGTACTGCACCCTAAAATCCCCAGAAAGGGGACGGCGCTCTTGAGCAAGTGGTGAAAGGTGTTACTGCACATTGTTTTTCAAAGAGTTAGCTTCTGTTGGCCTGTGTGTGTGTGATAATGTTTCACAGTTGTCTAAAGTGATTTATGATCACGGTTTATTCTAAAACAAGCAGTTAGGTCAATAAACTAATTAATCTACAGGTCCTCCCTGTTAACGACACGTGTGTGTGTCTGATAGTGATGAGCGGTTGGGAGGTCGTACTAACAGCAAATCAGAATGGGTGGGAGGTCTATTACAAGTTTTTCAATGGTTCAAACGCTTTGCGACTGTCTAAGAGTGTTTTTCATTGCTGATGCAGGATGGGTTTGTTACACAGTTATTGAGAAACTAGAAGGACTGTGGTGATGAGCCAGGACACTTTTAATATTCTACAACATGTAGTGGTCTATAGTCTTTATGTGTTTTAACTGCTGATTCTCCGATCTGTGTTGGTGATTTTCAGTAGTTTTTGGTAAGTCCTCTGAGATGACTACAGTTGTGATTTAGGGCTATACAAGACTAAATTGTATTGTATTGTATAGGTGTTTTTTTATTTTTTTCTGTAACAAGAGGTACTGCATCCAAACTCTGAAAGAGCGACACTTAGGTGTGTGTGTGTGTGTGTGTGTGTGTATGTGTGATTACCTTATCATGTGGACCAGAGTGTTGCACTAAAACAATAGTTGTTATTTTCCAACTGGTACACCAGTATGAACGATCCGTGTGAAACTCACCTGATGACAAAGGTTCCGTGGAGCAAAAACACATATATTTTTAGTCGCGTTTATCAATCGTAATTAATGCGTTATAATCCTAACCCTGTTCATAAGGTAGTAGTCTCTATATCAATTTAATTGTCCAATACAATAAAAATAAGAACCCTATATACATATATGTACACAGTTTGAAACAGAGTAGGTAGATGTGAAACTAGGGTCCTTGGTACAGGTTTTCTTTTACACGAGATCAAATGATTTAAAGGCGTACATCTCTCAGATATACAATTGACACTTGTTACCATAAATAGTCATCTTAAAGGGTTAGGGTTAAACAACCATATTACATACCTTAAACATTATGTACAACATTTTACCTAAACACAAACCAGTAATTAAACATTATGTGCAACATTTTACCAAAACACAAACCATTAATTAAAATCCAGATTTTCTTATTATGTAACACTCTCATATTTATTGAGTATAGTAGTTTTGTTGTTTCTTAAAAACCATGATTTTTATTTTGACTCTTTAATGTCTTTGTTAAGTTGATTCCTTCCAGAGACCATTCTTCCCATGACTTTA